TGTCTCTCTACTAACCATTAGACTGGACTTGTATTGACTCTCATCCTTCTACTTATGGTGCTACCTAACTCGGTGGATTGGATCAACTGATCCTCTTTACTTGACGCTCCCTCTCCCTTGCCTTTTACCTGCTGCATGTCTCCCGTGACCCTTCCAATCATTCCCAAAATCCGAGCCGTCCAGGTTTTGCTCCTTCTTTCTATCCTTTCATGAACCACTCATCTAACACTAACCTTCCTGATTCCAGCTTGGCCAGCTTCCCTTGTCTGCACCAGGTCTCCTGGAACCACTTGGTACCTGGCTCCTTATTCCTTTCTTTGCTCACCTTCCTTCTCCAATTCGCCAGGATTGATCTTCGGAGTAGCTTTGCAAATGTCGTTCTCAACTGTTTATTCGTCCATTCCTTGCTTCGGAAAACCCTGTCGTTTCTTTCCTGCCAGATAACTGTAATGGCCACGGCCCTGACCGCCTGGGCTACATACCCCCACCCTTTGGATATACAATGGCCCTGATGTACTCCCCCCAATAGAACCCACTCCTTTGTCCATGGGAAAGCCCCATCTGTGCTTTCTTCCCAGAATTTCCCCCACTATTTCCAGAGTCTTGCTGAAACTGGGCAATCCCACCACAGATGAACTGTGGATTCGAATGCCCATTCACATCTCACACATTTTAGTTCTACCTTCACTCCATGCTCAGTCAGCCACACCGCCGACGGGGTTGCAACCATTGATAGGAGCCATAGAATTGATGTCTGCCTCTGGTATGGTATCAGTTTAAGTTGTTCCCAACAGCTCCTGAGAGCTTTGTCTATCTGCGTCGGTTCCATTTCCAGTAGCTGCATCCATCTTGTTCTGGCTACTGCTTCCGGGTGTTTCAAAGGAATCACCATTTTGTATCCGATCTTCTGTGTGTAATTCAACAGACATACATTCTCTCCTCCTTTCCCTTGAGCTCTCCACTCCCACCTCGCCGGGTCTACCCTGCACAACAACATTGGTTTACCGTTTGTAAACAGTATCTTCTTTCCCCCCGATTTTGTTATCACCCGGATCTGAGACAGAGTTGACCCCAGTCTCGGTGCCCCTTCTGTCTTGTCTGTTAGGTGTCTACCCGTTCCCGGCATCTTCCATCCTTGGAATACCCTCTTGCCATCTGGCTGGTAGTCGATCAGTTCCCACAGTTTCGTTCCCAGTTCCTCCTCTGACTCCTGAATGTACCATGTTCCTACAGGGTCTATCGACTCTGGTGACAACTTTTCCTTCCACTCCCTTGGTATAGCATCTATTACTGCATTCAGTCGTTCTTCCACCAGTCTCGGTTGGCCCAGCTTATCTTTCAGTTCATCTTTTGTCTTCCAAACTCCTGTGCACCCATTCCAGATGTCCCGAACTCTTACCACTCCTCTCTCGATCCATGTCCTCCTGAAAATTGATTGTTGTGTATCCGCAGGGAGCCATTGATCGTTCTCTGTCCGAATACTCGGGTTCTCGAATATTGGTTGTGCAAGGATTTCCACTTTCGTCGTCGAAGGGACCCAAACGTTTGGCCTCAGTTTTCTCCATGCCTGGATGATGGCTGCCCATAGTATAGATTTCACTCTTCTCCTTTGGTATGAGAACAGGAAGATGCACGTCCACACGTCTTCTGTTCTTGAAAGGTTCCATTCCTTTGCTAGGATAGACTCTGCCAGGAAGACCCATGGAATGGGTTTCTCTAGGCATGCTTTCACCACCCACTTGACCAAAAGTGTCTCGTTCTGTTTGTTTAGGTCCGTAATGCCTAATCCTCCACACAAGGGGCAGATGTAGTGACAAACTTATACGAAGGAAACACGCACTGGGCAAACACGACTGTCAAACTGTCTCCACAGGGTAGACTGGACTTAGACCGACCAGTGATGGTAGAAGAGGCACATGAGGCACTTCGGGCAATGGCGAAAGGTAAAGCACCTGGAAATGATGGGCTACCAACTGAGCTGTACGCAGAACTCTGGGAGGCTATAGGCGGACATTTAGTGGAAATTTAGAATGAAATTTTGATTGGAGGACGATTGTCAGCAAGCATGTGCAGTGGGATTATATCGGTATTGTTCAAGAAAGGAGACCGTTCAGAAATAAGGAACTGGAGACCAGTTTCTCTTCTGAACGTGTCATACAAGATACTAGCAAAAATCCTGGCTCGCAGACTAGGCAAATACTTCCCAGACTTGGTCAACGCTGATCAGGCAGCCTTCGTAAGAGGCAGATCAATTTTCGATAACATCATTACCGCAGTAGAGACCCTAGAGATGATACAAGACAAAGACTTGAACATAACTGTGTTACTTTTAGACCTGGAGAAGGCATACGACCGGGTAAACTGGTCGTATGTCTTGTCAACGTTAGCCTGGATGGAATTTGGAGCTAATTTCATCTCTTGGGTCAAAGCACTGTATACCTTCTCATCTGCGGCAGTAATCATAAACGGACAGGTCTCGAGGAGTTTCAGCTGACCAGGTCTTTGCGACAAGGATGCCCATTGGCACCCCTTCTGTTTGCAGTTCAGTTTGAAGTAGTTCTTAACAACATCCGTTTACACCCCCAAATAAGAGGTATGCCTGCAGGGCCGACATCCTACAAGGTGAAGGCCCTGGCTGATGATCTATGTGCAGTTTCAGAGAACTCCACTGAGTCCTTGACTGCCCTCAAAGCTTGCCTGGATGAATTTTCAGAGTTGTCTGAAGCTGCCATAAACTGGCACAAGTCAGTGTTTCTTCTCCCCGAATCCTTCGAGTTGCAGGTGCAGTGGGGGATGAAGAGGATAGCAGAAGACAAAGCAGAGCGCTTCCTAGGAGTGCAGGTCTCGCTAATGGACTGTTCAGCCATACAGGACGATCTGTTGCTCCAAAAGTCGCTGCACCGGTTAGTTACATGGGGAAAAGCACAGCACTTATCTATCTTTGGGCGTTCGCTGGTCCTAAACGGTGCACCGTTCGCTCTTCTGTGGTTTGTGGGGGCGATCAGGCGGGTAGGAGAGGAGACATACAAACTGATCAGACGACGGGCAGCACAGTTTATCTGGAAACCGTATGCAAAGGAACAAGATGGCTTCATATCTAAGGTTGCGTGGGAAATGTTTTGCTTACCAAGAACAGAATGTTATCTAATTGTGCATTTCCCTCTGACCGCTGTCTTTTTTCTTTTTTTTTTTTAATATAAGAAAGCCTAGGTTGTTGTACAGGTGGGATACTAGACGGATGGCAGTCACGCACAGTACTCGGCCACTCGGTTGTCCAGATGAACCCCTCTGAAGACCCCACCCACCCTTCCTCTTATCTTTTTGTCCTGGCGCACCCACCCCCCCTGTCCGACCCTAGTGTTAACCACCCAGGACCATCACCCATTGTAGAGGTTAGATACTAGACATATGACAGTCACCCTCAGTAATCAGCCATTCGGTTATCCGGATGAACCCCTCATAAGACCCCACCCCCCCTTCTTCTTGTCAATTTCCCTGGCGCACCCATACTCCCACTGTTCTACCCTTGCGTTAACCACCCAGGACCATCACCCATCACTGTCTTGGTGAGGTGGCCTGACCAGACAGCAGTCGCAGGCACCCGCGTTGAGCAGGGACCTCTGCTCACCCCTGCTCAGCCCTGGTTGACGCAGAGTCCCACAAGCCCATTGCATGGGTACTTCGGGAGCTAGGTACGAACATGCTACGACAGACCTTCATGAGCGGGTTCAGAGGGCTCCCATCTAGCCCAGCCGCCTTTGATATCCTTTTTTTTTTTTTTTTTTTTTAATGAGAACAACCCGAGCGGATGGCAGGGGTGCTGATAAGAGTAGGCACCACTAGCACTGCCGGGGAGGCTCCATCTATTGCTGGGGACCAGCACCTGGTGGAAAGCGGGTCCACCGTCCCTGAACATTGTAGTTGTCTGTGTGGATAGACATGCAATTGTAGTGACAGCAAGCTACTGGGCTCACCTACAAAGAATGGAGTTTGGCAGGTAGAACTAAACAGCAGCCTGAGTTGCTGGGACAGCCTAAGGTAAGGGATAGTATACACAGCTCTCCTGGATGCTACTCGGAGAATTGGTAACCGATTCTAAGTAATGTTCTGGTACACTCCATTCATCAGGCAAACAGCCTGTTAATGTCGCAGTTGTTTATTTGAACAGCGATGTACTTGGGATAACAGTAAGCTGCTGGGACCTCCTACAAAGGGCGAAATTTGGCAAGTAGAAGTACCCAGCAGCCCAAATTGCTTGCCCACGTGGCAGTTTAATGTAGGTGATAGTATACTCAGATCCCATGGCTGGTACTAAGGGAGTTGGAGACAGTTTGACTTTTCTGCTTCTCCCCATTCTCCCAGCTAACAGTCCCTTGTCGTCTCAGTCTCGGGGCCTGGTTCTGGCACCTATGCTTAATTTCCAATTCCGGTAGGCAAGCCTGCCTCCCGTTCCCCTACCCCCTCCCTACACTTGCTGGATGATACACTATCGTTAGACACTCCTCGGGCACGTAAAATGCCCGAGGACGTGATCGTTCCACCTATCCTCGGGGAAGATTTTTCCAAAAAAATGTGAAAACATTTCCTCGAGGAATCCTTGTAGCATCCTTGTGGCCCAGCCATTTGTCGCCTTAGTGCAATGGACCTCACGAGGTCCCTCGGGGTTCGAGGATCCACGATAATCGGAGCGGCGAAGGCACGCGTCGGCGGCAGCTTCCTTTTTCGGCTGGTCCATTTGGTGTTCCGCCAACTGGTGCATGAACATCTTCGGCCGCCGCCGTCGGTCCTGCGCCCAACGGGTCGCCAACGGCTAACATTGGAGGACGACCCGCGAGGGGCCCATGTAGCACTTGCGGCTGATGTCGCCATGCTCCCACGGGGTTTCCCGCCAGCGTCGACGGGGTTCAACGGTCGGCAAAATTGAATATTTTGCCTGACCTGACTCCAGCAGCCCAACCAATGTCGGCGACGGATAACGTTACGGTGCGTCTGTCGTATGCTGTCCTCTTCCGTTTGCCTCCTTCACTGTCGCCTTTTGGTGGACCTCCACTGTCGTCGTCAAGTTGCGGCCCTGTCCTGCGCGTCGTTGATGGCCGACCTCTATCGCAGGCTTCCTGTGCTGCTCCTGGTCGTCATTTTGCTTGTCGTCGTCGTCCTGTTCCACATGTGCATCAGCCTTAAGGTGCCTGGCCGTACACACAGGAGGCGTTCAGCAAAGAAGGGTGTCGACATGGACGACTGGCAGCCGAAGAGCAGGGCGTTGTTCGACTCCCCCACCGCTCACCACGCGCAGCACAGCGGTGCTCGAAAGTCACAGCAGTACCATCCGTCTGCGTACGTGCACATACCATCACACGAAATTCCGCTGCCACCGACGGACGACGAGGCAGAGGAGGTAGGATCTCGCCGTGGCGCTCGGGAGCGGATCGATGCAGGATTGGGCGGGGAGCCAGTTCTTTGGAAGTCGGCAAACAACGTCCCGACAATCGTACACACAACTGCTTGAAGAAGGTATGGGCGAGGAAGACACACATGCCGATGTCAATCTGTCGTTCGAACTGTGTAGCGGGAGCTCAGCGGCGACGACACGTACCCGCATCATCAATCCCCACCCTGACGGCGATTGGGGTGATGCGGCGCTCGTCGGTCGGTTGGGCGGGGGGTCGTCCGTTGGATCGCCAGCAGTAGAGAAGATGAGGGACCGACACTATCTGCAGTCGAAGTCGGCGCCGGCAACACGCCCCGAAGTCGTTCGTTCGCAGCGGGTGCAATTGCCATCGGTCAGGTGATTGGAAGGCGCTCGGGTGGGGGCGGTGTGGACGCTACATTCGCAGTCGACGTCGATGAGCGGACGGGTCGGCAGGTGTGGGAAGAACATCGGCAGCAGCTTCGTGGAGATCGTGAAGACGCGATAATGAGGGTGGTTCGACAGCTGCATGTCGGCATAAGCGACGCAGATAAAGAGGCGACGGTGGAAGTAGACAACTTTGAAGACATCAACGAGGAAGGCGAAAACGACGAAGAGGCCGTTGTGGACATTCGACCTGTGGGCAGGACGTCCATGGGTGGTCGGGGAAGAAGCAAGAAAGCTTCTGCCGCGCATGGACGAGGGACGAAGAAGACTGCATCTAGCGGGAGCGATGGCGAACTTCAAGGTGACATGGACGTGAACGGTGAGAGGAACTTCTGGTTGGTGGAACACATGGTCGCTCTCGTGAGGGCGAAACAAAATCAGGATGGGCACCTGGAGGGTATGGGGCACACATTTGCCCGCATGAAGCCAAGGGAATGGAAGTGGCAGGATGTTCATGAGAGATTGAAGAAGGTGGGTGTCGCTAGGAGTGACGAGAACTGCGGGAAAAAATGGGACAACTTGATGCAGCAATTCAAGAAGGTGCACAGGTTCATGCAGGAGTGTGGGAAACCGGACTACTTCCAGCTGACGGGCAAGGAAAGGAGATCACACAGATTCAACTTTGTAATGGAGCGGGTGGTGTATGAGGAGATCAAGGGATCGACAGCGAAGAATCACACCATCCATCCGAGAAACGTCACCGACACTAATGCGCCGGGTGGTGTTGAAATGTGGTCCGGCTCGGGGAGGGGAAGAGGCGATGGCGGGGGCGGGGGCGACGAAAGTGGCGAGCCACATGAAGAAGAGGACGGGTCGACAAAAGGTTCTTCGTTTAGTACGTGTAGCACTGCGGGGTTGGCGATGAGGCAGCAAACGTTCGAGGCGTTGACGGACGTAATGGAGAAGCACGGCACACTGATGGCGACGGCCTTGGAGAGCGCGAGCAAGAGGCAGTGATCGATGTTGATGCAGCAGTGCGAGATCATCGAGTCCTCGCTGGCTGCATCATCGAGTCCTCGCTGGGGGCGTTTGCCGGCTTGTCGATGTAGACGTGAGTACAATCGAAGCACTTATGGCAGTTCGGGAATCCTTTGTCAGCAAATGCTCGTAGGATTACCAACTTGCGCACCCCCGTCGGCCATGATATCTTCTCCTGACACACCGCCAGCAGCGCAGCCGTCACGTCCCCAACCGCGACCAGCCCAGAAGCTCTCCCGATCCCAAAGTTGCATGTGCCACTTTCGTACATCTCCCCCGATGCCCACCTGTACAACACATAAGCGACGATGTGATCAGGCTGCAGTGGCTCCCTGTAAAAGGTCACACACCTCTGTAGACGAGGCAACAAAGCTTCATTGATCTCCCGAAAGACATGTGGCAACATACGCAGCTTCTTCCTGAAGTACACCTCCGTCGCGTCGTCACATTGCCTAAGATCCTCCCCCGCTTCACCCGTCCTCCTTTTCATCCACCATCTTGGCATCGCGCGTGGAACAACGCCGCAACCCATGGTGTAGCAAACCTGGAGTACAACCTAGATGATGGGCACTGTATCCAGCCCATCGACCTCGGCTCCCTGATCCATCTTCCTCCTTCGCGCGCAGATCTGCACTCTCATTCTGCCCAATGACCTCTCCTGCTGACAACGGAAGAGCACAGTCGTCATGGCCACCTTAACGGTCATCTTCTCGAAAGTCATCAACTTGGCACGTCCGTAGTCGCCGCCGACCTCCATCGCAATGAGTCCTTGCAAGGTCAGATCAACAGTCGCACAAAAAAAGAAAGGACCACGCCGACGACGACGTCGGCCTCGCCTCGGAGTCGCGGATGACGCTCCCAGCAAGTCTCTCACTGAAGACACAAGGTCGTCGGCAGGAGGAGGTGATGGCGGTCGACCTTCGTGCGGCGACAAATGAAGACTTCGAAACGACGAGCGACGACGCTAGTACGCCACCGCCCCGTTGGAATGCCTGTTTCCACCATCTGTCAAAAGTCAAGCCGACTGCCACACGGCGCCGTCGTCACGTCCCCCACCGGATTCGAAATTTGGATTTCGAACTGGGAGGGCCCCTGTGCTTTTACAGTTTTTTTTTTCCCCGGTCGCTGACGCCATCCTTAATTTCCTGTCGTCGACAGTTGGACCACCACCTCGAGACGGTCATCACCCAATGGACCAAGGGGGCGCTGCGGGGGCGGCCAAACATAATATTATGAAGGGGGTCGCGGGGGCTAACAAGGAATCGTCCTTTGGAGGCCGCCCCGAGGATAGGTGGAATGACGGAGGGAATTTCCTTAAAAACCCCAAGGGATACTTCCTTCAGCCCCGAGGATGCCCCAAGGAGTGTCCAACAAGCCCCTGTCCCTTTGATCCAATGTAGCAGTAGTTTGGTTCCAGGAGCAGACTCCTGGAGCTGTTTAGATGTGATGGGTGGAATTTATGTGCGGTGCTACTAACCCTGTGGCCATGTTCACACTCACCTTAGCCACATTGTCTTCCCTTTTACTCTGCCTGATGCTGGTGCGTTGAGACCTGGTGAGTTGAACCTGTGTACAGTGTTTCTGACCCTGTGGTCGTGTCTGCGTCCAGGGCCACATCAGCCACATTGTCTCCCTTTTTGCTGTAGTTGTATTCTCTTGTAGATTCCCTCCCTCTCCCTCTCGTTCTCCTTCTTGCAGTGCATGGCAAAGGGACCATTTGGTTGTCTGAGCACTGGTGACATGTATGCCCCTCCAGTCCGGTACTAGATGCTATCTTGTCTTTATTCCCAGGTCTCCCCCACTTATGGGAGCCGCATCCCTGCGATTGGCCTGGCTGCCAAGTATTTTGATGTATTCTCAATCCTACGTCCCTCAAACATCCACATTTGCTTCTCGTTCATGCCCCGGTCCCACCCCCAGTATTGCCCAAGTTTCATCCGGACCCGCATCAGGGTTGAATCTGTCCAGTAATCCTATTAGTGTTATTGCTTCCCCAGGCTGCTCTCTGTTACCCGATGTTTGGGAGGTTTGTAGGTCGTTTGCAGTCTGGTACGCCTATCCCTGCTCCTGCTTAGGAATCTCATCGCCTGGCCAAGGTTTTTCTGTTGCAGTTGTGCAGGGCCAACTACAGGCAGAGAGGGGAAAGGAGGGGGGAAAGGGTGGCACAGGGAAGGGTCCCTCAGGAGCGGGGGAGGGGGTGAGGGTGTCACAGGGGGCGACTCCCCTTTACAGCGGGCCTCTATCTACCCTGGCCTACAGCCAGGGCCTACTCAGCTATTTGCTTGTTCGGCCTGTGGGACCAGGCCATGGCCTGACCCCACAGGCCATGTGTTGTTTCAGTCCAGTCCAATCCTGCCCGGTACCAGGCCAGTCTAGTCCAGTCCAGTCAGTCCGTTAGGGTATACCCCAGCTGCAGTCTGTATTCTGGTTTATTCTGCATTTGCACAATTTGGAGTACGTGTGTGTTGAGTCTGCGTCGGAGCTGCGCTGTCCCTTCCAGCTCCATCTCCATCTCCTCCTTCCTCAACCCTCTGTGTTGATCCCGATGGACCGCCATCCCGGCGGGTCCGTCACACTTGTATCAGAGCGGGAACGGTCCCCGCTCCAACCCGCCCGCCCTCCCGTAACAGAGGGAAATTGTTGTAATCCCGATAGCGGGATTGTCAGGGTTTTTCAGGGCGGGAGCGATGAAAAACAGCGAAGAAAAGCAGCAGCGTGGAGAGGCGGACACGTGGCAAAAGAGGAAATTGTCGCCACTACGTCAAGGGCAGCGAAGAAAAGCAGCAGCGTGGAGAGGCGGACACGTTGTGAGGAAACCCGGGGAGGGGCCCTTGCAGTTTGCTGAAGCCAGGGGGCACAGTGCCTGTCACTTCACTGCCCCCGCTTCGGAGGTCCTCAGCAACCAACAAGGTGATT